GATTTTATTCATCATTCTGTGAATATATAGTTGCTAAAATGTATAACAAAACGAAGAAACATCATTATCAATTGACTGAATTGCCTCCGTATTGCTAACATATGTTTTTAGCACAATTATCGCTAAGGAACTAGGTATAATTTTGCCATTAGAACCTTTAGTATAAGTGTATTCACTTGATTGTTTAATTATGATAATGGCACACAAATCTTCTGCTGATGCCTTAAATCTAGGGACTTAAATGGATATGTCTATAGCACCTCAAATGAAAACCATGTGGTGCAACAATTCTTGTGGCTTGTACATGCCTCTCTATAGGTTTTTAACCTAAGTTCCTCGGACACGGGTGCGGTTGTCTGATACGGGTGCGGATCTAGAGGTCGGATCCTTCGAGATGTAAATTCTACGGTTTGGGGATATGGGTCCTAGTACGGATACGGGTGCGGGGATCCGACTAAAAATAATTCGAAAACATATAAATATAAAATCTCTAAATTATGAGAAATTTTGTGGAATACTTACGTATAGCTTGTAAAGTGTGGATTTTTTTTTATTTTCAAGTTGTAGATAAGTAAAGGATTGACTTCCTAGATAAAGTATGCTATTTTCTTCAAATGTACCCTAGTTTTGGTTATGATTTTGTGAATCAAATTGTATCTCGTCCCGAAATTTTCTGTCTGCTATGGTCAAAGTACCCAAAATTGTTTGACCAGATCCGGTACGGATCCCATACCCACACCCATACTAGTGTCATGTTGACACAGGTGGGGCACCTAAAGTAATGTGTCGGAGCAACTTAGTTTTTAACCCATATTTGGCCAATCAAGTACGTATCTTGCGGATGATACATGCCTCGTGTGAGATTGAGCTTGGTGTTATAGCTATTACACCCTTTTTTGTTATTTGGTTCTGCAGTGATGCTGAAAATAAAGTGTTATGGTTGTCATGCGAGTTTTGTTGCTATATTTGAACTCATCTAAAGCTGTCAATAGTCATATGTTTGTCAATATTGTACTAGAGATGCACTCTGATACATTTTTGGTTTTGATATCCCCAGAACCCAAAGTCTGATCTGCATCTTCTTTGTTAATTCTTGTTATGCGGCTTTCAATGGTGTGAATATCCCTCTTGTTGGCTTTTTTCTGAATTAGGTCTCCTTAAGGTAATTGGCCACCAATTTTTGTTGAAGGAGGTTGAATTTTCATATACAGGTCACAATGGTAAACAAACTGGCCAAGCTTCTTGGAAAAAAGAGGAAAGTGTACAATGGATTCTTTTCACCATGCTAACAGGAAATACTATTCAAGAGCTTGTGGAGAAGGTAAGCCTGTTTTGCTTTCAGTTTCTAACTTTTCAGTCCTGAGAAAATCTAGCTCTCTTACAGGAAAGTTTGGGTGGGACAATTGTTTAAGACCCGTCATGTCATCAACTGACAATGGTAGTTTCTAATTGAAAAAGGAGAAGGTAAATCAGGGTAAATTTCACTAGTTCTTCTCTTTAACAGGACATCACTATCTCAAATTAATGAAGGAATGAAGACAAAAAATCAATGTGGGTCCCTTTTGTTGACTTGAAGTGGTGAATCCCATTAAATAGAGGAATGAGCTATTGAACTTACGTTATAAAAATGTTAACCAGAAAACAATTCTTACCGAGAAATTATACCGATTGACTTAGTAGCTCACATGCAGGTTGTTACTTCACTACTGAACAACATCAACAACTACGCCTCAATCATGACTAAGTTGGCATCAGCTATATGAATCTTTGCTACTGAGATCTTTTAAAACCTTTCTTTGTTGACTTCAGTAAAACTCAACTATTTTCGCATTGGTTTCGTAAATTTCCATCAATAATTCAAAACTGAAGTCCTTATCTTCCCTTTCAAAGCTTCCATTTCCATATTCTATTTAACATCTGATTACCCTAACTCTTCTTAATAGTCTTGCTTCTCTCATATTCAAACTGGTAAAGATAACCATGATCATTTAGCTGCGATCCTTCAAAAAAGGGTTGCTTGGTTGAAGTGATTGTTAAGTGGAAATAAAAGTTTTTTTGATCGGGTAAAGATAGATTTCATTTGCCTCTGGCATAGTTCAAGTGTCAAAGGCTGAGGAACTAGAGTCATAGGTTTGAGCCTTGTGCTGTGTAAGTTAAGTCTGGTATTTAAGTGAAGAAGGATAGAGGCGCGGGCCCATTACCCATGAGTTTCAAAGGCTCCAGTTGATCCTAAGGGTTGGCCCAGATGGATTTCTCGGTCATCTAAAAAGAAAGTAAAGGTAGATTTCATTCATTCAGAATCCAGAAGATACACAATAATTGCAAAAGAAGTCGACTTCTGGACAATGGCAGATGACCCTAACAAAAATTTGAAGGAGCTTACAAAATCCAAAAAAGTCAAATATTATTTACATTACGAAGTTAACTCCATGAAAAGATGCATCAAAATTTTAGCCTTCAAAACAAGAGTTGGAGTTCAAAACAGCTGATTTCTTTCTTTCCAAATGCACCATATGATCACTGCAGGAACCATTTTCCACAAGTTGATGATGGATGTTAAGTGAAATAAAGTTTCTAGCGACATCTAATATTGAAAACTTCTTTTTAGAGCATAATTGATTAAAAAAGGAAAATAAACAAGTTTAATCCCAAGACTAGTATAGGTAGTTTATTACGTTCGTAAAACCAACCTTAGTAACATATCAAAACGTTTACCCAAGACGACCCTGTTCAATCTACAGACTCATTGTGTGGATTGAAGCTCCGGCGCTAGTTAGATATGTCCGGCAAGATGAAGAAGAAGCCGGACTGTCTGGACTTTGCATAGCTTCAGAGAAGAGGCCTGAGATAACAGAGCAAACGGGACAGGTGGAAGCTGTAAAGCGCAATTCAAATTTTGAATTAAGTGGTTGTGTCTCATGTGCACGTAGGGAGTTTTCAGAGTTAGAAATCTAAACATTGACTAGTTTTTCGTTTTCTTGGTGCTTCCCTTCTCAGGTGAGTGTTTTCTGAACTTCGTCAACACAAGCACATGGTGGACGCTATTGTTTGCTAGAAAGTTGACAGTAAAGGATACAGGAGGATGCCCGCTGCATGATGTTCTGCAGTCCAGGTGGATTTTCCTTTAGTATTCTTCTCGAATAACTGGTTGAATAGGTGGAAATGTTTTCCAAATTCTAGCCGTGCTACTGAAGGAGCAATTGCTGTCCGTCCAGGCCGAATTAAAAGAAAAGTCAGAGACAGGAAAAACTCTGAAAGTAAAGCAAGCCCATTTGTTTTGCTCATTATGCGGATTGAGGCGTGAAAGGTGGAAAGCTGGTTTAAGAGATTTACTGCTGATTTTAGTTAGTGTAGTGAAGAGTAGTAGATGATTGAGAGAGTTGAGGACTCTGTGTCTTGCAATTGGCTCCCTACAAATTGGCAAGGATGAAATGAGGATGAATGAGAAGAGTCTTCTTAGTTAAAATCAGCATGTGGCGTGTACCTGGCAGGATCTGGAAAAAGGAACAATTTTGATGACAAAGCTGTTCCTGATCTTTGAGTACTGCTCTTACCAACCTGTATGAGTGTTGGAGATTTGTGGGCACAAAAAGAATTTTGGAATCACTATCTTATGGATTAAGGTTTCTCGGACATCAAAATCATCGACATGCTTCTTTAACAAGGACGTGCTGCTGCGTTGCTTTCATTTATTCAACCATACATGTGACTGAACTGTGGTGTTTGCCTTAACAATTAGACTCCTCTCTCATGCGCTGTTGGCAGGCATGAAAAGAGTACTATTATTTATAAGTTTTTGATGTTTGGTGTCCAAGAATAAGTGTGTTCCTGTTGTTCCCCCCCCAAAAAAGTCCATCTCAATTGAAGTAAAGTTATTCAATATCAAGGTTTCGGTTATACAACAGAGGGTTTATTTCTTGAGCAAATTATACAAAATTTTACAGCTTGCATCTCTCATGATGTTACAACCTCCTACATTACACTGCTTAAATTTGATATAGTGCAGGCTTGGCGCTTGCCGTTAGACCATAATAGATCTCATTGGAGCTGAAATTTTGAAGATAATCCATCAATTCATGCCATCTTCCAAACTGATAAAAGAATTTCTTGATCAGTTTATTCGTGGATAATCCTTCTTCACTATACTTTTACTTTCCATGTGGTAATATTGGAATAACTCAGTAATAAGGTTTTCATAATGCAATTTGAGGTACATTCTGACCACTACTTCATACATATAAGCTTGAAAGGAAGCGAGACGAAATACTTGTATTGTAAGCAGTTGTTCCCATAGCAGCTGTAGCACTTTGAATACTTGTAAGAGAGCTGATTTTCCAGAACCTTAGTTGGCCAAGTTGGGTTTTAGAAATGTTTTCCAATAAAAAGTTTTATTTTTGAATCAAACAAGATTATTTTGGGGTTTCCTAAATCTTTCCCGAAAATGCACTCCTTAAAAACAACAATAGTATGACGCAATTATTTGGGAACGGTTTGGTTTGGCCAATGAGAAAGATAAGCAAACAAACCAATACCAGGGATTACTGACTAGAGTAATTTTTGTTGGGGAACTTTTTTAGCAGCTTTGCTATTTGTTTTCCTTTTCCTTTGCTTCCTATTGACATTGTTCTCTCTGCTCTTGGGAAGAAACAGACCGATTTAGCAGTAAATAGTAGTATCTTCGATGTTCCAACTACTTAATTTGTACAGTTGTGATCTTCACCCGCTTTTGTTTTCACAATCATTTCAGCAGATTTTATCCAAAATTGGCCAATAAAACTTCAAATGTTTTCCTTTTCTGTCATTTTGCTTTCTACATTTGAGAAAATAATTAGGAGATGGTGACCCCAGCAAATGTTATATTGATATAAATGCTATATACAGCACCAGGGCAAACATCTCTGTCATTCTCTCTGCCATAATTGACGATAATTGTCTTTCTTTCCTTCGCAAACAACACAAAAACTCGACTTAAACTGCAAGAAAAACTATTGACAACACTAGGGCAACAAAAACTACAAAATCCTTCATTTAGACCCCGCCAATCTTTCATTCTCTAGCAACAAATTTGTTTGAAAGCTACGTCTGATGAAACAGATTAAATAGGTCATTTAGAAAAATTACAATAGTTCCAACTACTGGAAATAGTTTAACTTCTTCAAAGAAATGACAATGGAACTCATCATTGCAATACAGCTATTCTTCCATAGCGTCTCCACCTTCAATTACCTCTACCACCTCTCTTAATGGTGTAATCTTTGTAAGAAGAACTTCTGTAAGCACAACAACAATTCAACTGACAATATTAGTAAAATGCAAAGCATTTGAAAGAAACAAATTTGTACTTTTAACAAGGTATATCTCAGTTGCATTGGAGGTTGACAAGTATGAAAACATTACAAACAACAATTGCGCCTTAGTGCCAAACAAGTTGGGATCGGCTATGTGGATCTTCACTGACCAAGTATGAGAACACTAACCAGTCCTTTTAGGGAATGAGTAACCCTTCTGTGGATAGGTGCGAGGATTAGGCAACATATGATTCCTCAAGTACTCCGTGTGCCCCTAACAATCACCAGTAGAAGTTTTAAAGCGATATACTAACCAAATATTACATGCTTTATGTATAATAAGGAGAAAATTCTGTCATTGCTTGCTAAAGGGAGATCAAACCTTTGTTATTATACAGATATCAACGTTGCTTCCACTACCAAGATCATTGAACACCCCAGACAATATGGCCTCTGCTACTAGCTTTATCCCTTCATCTTTCTGCACCAAAACTCCACCTCAACATTTAACAATTTACAATGTATATAGACGCCAAATCCAGTGGACTAAACATAGCTGCAGGAAATGAGCTTACACTTAACCCTTCCCGGTATTTTGACTCAAAGATTGCTATCGCTGCAAGGGAACCAGAGCCCATTGTAGCATATGGCAGAGTATCAGTTGATCCATGTGGATAAATCTGAGAACAGGCCATTGACCAGCAACATTCAGGATTTCTACAATGGGAAAAATAATAATATACTAAAGCGACTCCAACACAAGACCACTCACAGTATGCAGATGTGGTCCTGTGACATCAACCCCACCAAGGACCAAAGCAGCTGAGACGTAGCCCTGGTAGCTGGTTAAGAGAACATAGTTAAGCCTCTGTTTTATCAATTTAATTGCATGCAAAGATGTTATTTTATCACGAAGCAACATTAAAATATAAGCACACCTGAAAAGATGAGTCTTCAAAAGAGTAAGAGCTGTCACAACCCTGGATTCACGACCAGTGTGATACCTATGAAGCTTCAGTTGGGAACTGACCATGTCTATAAAATAGCAGTTGCTACTTAAGGTATGAGAGAGAAATAGAGAGACAAGGATTTGAAACTTGAGAAGAGATGTTATTATTACAAACAGAAATACATGGATATCAAACTCAATTACCAGTCACTGCCTCAGTATCAGCAGCTGTCCCTGCTCCACAGCAATATATGTTAGGGGCCATGTAATGAATCTTCTCACAGTTCTTATCAGCAACAATTGGCCCTTCAGTCGCCCGTGTGTCTGCTCCAAGAATGACACCATCCTGAAGACAAAACACTAAGCTGTTAAATAAGAATCACTTCCAAAGTCTGCTGGTACAGCATGCAGCAATCGTGGATAATTGTACGAATGGGATACTCCTAAAGGCAATTTGATCAAACGTGTAACTTCCTGAGTCTGCTGATCCCCTACATGCAGGTTCTTACGAATGATCAATCAGATGAGACATTCATAAAAGCAACATCACCCATAAAGGAAAAAAAATGACGATGAAGGTATATCAAAAGATACTGTAAAAAGGAGAAAAAGAAAGAAAAACATGTAGGATTGGCAGAGACTTACGGACCGATATCATTCAGCAATGCCGTTAACAATGTTTATGGTTCTTAATTTCATATATGGAAGATAGCCCCAAGCTAATAGCCGCTGTCTCTATCCCTAAAGGCCGAGGGCGGTGGCTTTCTTGTGGTTGTAATTGCGAAGTCATTCTATTTTGGATTTCTTGTTCCTGCAGCTGAGAAGTCTGAAGCTACACCCTTCTATAACACCTTGCCCCTTAATGATAAGATAAGCTCCAGAATTAGCGGATAACCCAGTCCTTTCTTTGCTTGAAGTTAGTATGGAATGGAGCTACTTTGGCCGCAAAATTCAAACTAGACTCGGTGCTTGACAAGGGGATTTAGTAGGTTTTTGCAATTATGTCTATCATATTAAGAGGGGTTTCATCTCATTTCTTTTTTTAATAAGTAAAATGGGTTTCGTCTTCCTTTATATAGAGCTACTCGTATAGTGTTCCAATTGGAGAAAAATAATAGTGGAACGAAGTTAAGAAGGCAAAGTACACAAGCTATAAGTCCCAGACTCCAAATTCCAAACATTAACGTAGAAACATACTTTATGGTTGATGGCTCTGCTTTTCACAACATGCATGCTATTGCCGGATTGTAATAACAAACTCCGAGTTGTCAAAGATAAAAGACAAAAGCTCTCCACACTTTCTTATTGTCCTCAAATAACAATTTCTTCTCTGTTTTACCTTCTCTGTCACATTACATCTATATATTGGCCATTGGTAGGCTACGACTCTACCTTCCAAGGAAAAGAGAAAAACAATCCTCCAGGCCACCAAAAATCTCCTTTCGTGTAATACGAGTCTCTTTGCAGTTTAGGTTGAAAGATCTATATCTCACCTTGCTGTAATTAACCGGTTCAAATTCGAAAACTCTACCATTTATGATATATAATCTACACTTTAAAATAAGGGAAAAAGGTCAAATTTGCCCCTAAATTATGCGAAATGATTTAGATGTGGAAAAGGTCAACTAGTAACGGTTGCTATATCCAGACCATTTCGCAAAGTTTAGGGGCAAATTTGATCCTTTTTTATTTTTTCACTCACTGTCCTTCATCTTCCAAACATTCACTTCATACACCAATCTTCTCGGTCAAAGTTCCTTCTCCGCTGCATAACTAACACCTCAAAACACCCCTTTAAACAGATTCTAATAGAAAAGAAGACGAGGCGCCAAACCTCACACTATCTCTTTTCTCAGTCCACCACAATATATCGCAAAAGCCTTGGTCCCACAATTTCATTCCACGACACCACCATAACCTCATTCGTCAACCATCGATTGACCTCTGTTGATACCTCAAAAAAAAAAAAAAACTCACTTAAAAACGGCTGAGAGGCCACCAACAACATTCTTCCATTTGCCTCTGTTCTCCCTTTTCCAGAACCCTTTCGAAAAGACAACCATGAAGACCCACTGAAAAAAACTCCACCATGGCCAAAAACCATCATTGCCAACTACTGTCACCAACAAAAAACTATTTTTTTGCTTTGTTTCCCCGATAGAACTAGATCAGCAAGAAGCCCACCAGCAACAACCATCGACCACTTTTTCACTATCTACTTCACCTTCTTCCTCCACTCCAAAAGTACTAAACCTTTCTCACCATCACCATTTCCTCACCTAAAAAATGCCACACCAAGCACCACATCTCACCACCCTTCCTCACCACACAATGTTCAACGAAAAGACAAAAAGTCACCATAATCACCACCTTATCACCAACACAGAACTCACTATAGAAATCTTTCATCACCAAAAACAACCTTCATCAACAAGACAAGCCATTATAATATCTAAAGCAAAAGTCATCTTCGAATGTGTAGGTTGGAGTTGGTAAGAGAAAAGACTATAGTTAGAAAAATAGGCGTTAAAAAGGGAGTGTTTTGAGGAGTAGGTTTTGTGATGAAGAAGATTCTTGGCTAGGATGTGAGGTGATTTTTCGGGAAGATGAAAGACAACGAGCGAAATGAAAAAGGTCAAATTAGCCCCTAATTTTGCAAAATGGTCTAGATATTGCCTCCATTAATATTTTGCAATATATGGAACACGTGGCAGCCAGCCCCAGGTGCTAATAAAAGTGCTTAGATACTTAATAAAAGTGCTTAGATACTGAATAGATCCAACTAATGCTCCATCTATCAATAAGGGCATGTGTACCATTTTTGTAATGACAAGGGCATACCTGAACCCAACTATTAGTGAAGGGTATATCGAGAGTTCTAGACCATTTCACATAGTTCAAGGGCAAATCTGAACCTTTTCAGCATAAAACGATTTTAGTAGTTATTGTGATTTGCACACACAACAAGATCTCCAAAATGCAGATTTTGAGGAGCATTATGCCTTGCTATCCATAAACATTGCGTCGTATTTTTAACAGCTGATGTACGATTTACTGTCTTAGCATAGGTATGATTATATCTGCTGATAACGAAGTTAAGCTGTATTGAGGAAATCGTTTTGTCTCAATCAATCAAGAATGTTATATATTTCAGGAGCTAGATTAGTTGGCGATGAACAAGTAAGAATTGCCTCAACCAAAATTGATGGAATTGGACCTAAAAAAGCCATTCAGGTTCGTTATCGATTAGGTATCAGTGGAAACATAAAGATAAAAGAATTAACTAAGTATCNGCCTATACCTAGGATTTCCATTTGGTTCGGCTGTAGTTTCATAGATCTACATGGGAATCTTCGTTAGATCGATCATGCAGTTAGATCGATTGGCCTACCAGAGAGTTGGCATTAGAAGACTGACACTCACAACACCAACAAAGCTGGACGACATACGATCAAAAGTTCGGGATGATGTGATCCAAGTCAATAGGTTAGGAAGATCAAAGATAATTGTTTGTAATAAGGGAAAAATAATGAATGGTCAATTCACGGTTAGAAATTCCACTAACAACTTGGTGAGAGTTTGTCAACCACTCCTTCCAAAGGACTCTAAGGATAGGAATAGCCAAAGATCAAAACATAGCATGAAAATTACAAACTTCATACTTCAAAGCAAAAAAAAGCCAAAAAATAAACGGAAGGAAAGACAAGAAAAAAGCGTGGGCCACAGATGCAATATTTTCTTGGTGAACTAAGCAACATTTTCTTCATCACTCTTCTTTGTGTCCCTCTAAACAAGGCAGTTGGAATCAAATGGAAGAAAATATCTTCCACCAGTAGGCAACATTATGAATGGTGTACAAAACTCATCTTTCTTTCCATTTTTACTCCAAATATGGCAGAGGATTTTTGATAAAAAGAGAAAAGTTTTCGATGGCAAGGTAAAGTTGTTTTGCCCACACAATTTCCTCGCAGAAAAGTCCTATTAACATATGCTGTCAGTAGCCAAATGTTAGATACTAGTAGCAGAATATTCGGGTAAATATACAACCTATGCGTGTATATTTTAATAGAGACAAGTTAATATGTATGAATTTCAGAAGCAATGAAGCCTCTCTCATGTAGTTTGCAAAACAATAGAAATCTTGTCCAAACAAGTGAAAGCAAACAACTAGTAAAACGGTCTTTCACCACAACACTCAAATGCCTTTCGCCTGAAATGATCCTTCCCCAAGTAAATGATGGATCCTGAAATGCTATCTCCATTTTGAACTTCAATGCAAAAGACCCAAACCAAATGTCTTTTTTTTTGTTCTCCTTAAATTATTTAGAAAAAGGCGAAAGCTCCAATATCTAGATGAAAATATAGTACGCAAATGTTGATGCATGTGGCTTATAACAAAATAAAAGCACTGCTTTTAATTTAATTCCTGCAGCAAGTTTGCTCGCACCTAGACTATTCTACCATTAGCATCATTCCACCAATATGGGTGTTCGATAGCTCTATCCACCAAAATTTAAACATATGAAAAAAAACTAATCTTGTTTTACATCTACTAGGATTTGAACTCTGATCTCCCATAGTGTACATTCCATTCTTGCAATTAATGCACCATTATGGATTAAGTCTTACTACAAATCTCACTAATGTCTCAAAAATTCTTTGTGTTTTCGTGTAGTTTCTTCTCATTTGAACGTCTTGAGTTACGTTTTTGTGTGAACAAGCCTAATTTAGATTTATTTTGGAACTAGGTGCAATTGGTATGAGAAATCATTTTCAGCTTGTTAAGTATCAAAAACACGCGCATTGAGGTTCAAGGGCTCGCACTGAGGGCAAAGGAACTAAGGGATAGATCAAAATAGACAAGGAAAGAGGAAAAGATGCCACATAAAGGGGATCATGACAGTGTAAAAAATAGGCATGCACAGTGTTGATGACATGGTTAAATAAATACATGTATATTCTCTTTAACTTAAGCTTTTACATGAGATAGTCACACAGTTCGACATGGTATCAGAGCAGGCAGCGGTCTTGGTTTGAGTTCTCACCGCCACCCATTATCAAAAGACCTTTTGCCTGCTTGGCCCATGAAAAAGAACCAGCCCCGCACATGAGGGGCATGTTGAAGACATAATTAAATAAATAAAAGTTTGTTCTTTCTAATAGCTTCAAATTCTAGACAGATGTCACACAATCAACACACAACACAGAGCGTTATAGGGTGAAGGACGAGGAATTTATGTTCAATTCATGACCTACTGTTCGGAAGCACCCTTCTAAGGGAAATTCCATCTTTTAAATATTTTAACATGGTATAAATAATTAGGGCTTTTTTGGGAGGGCGATTCAACCTTTTTGGGAGCAAAAACAAGGTACAAGAGCAAGGCACGCGACAATGAGAAGATTACCATAGAGTTTCATATTTTCTCCATTGTTCTCGACTTTAAAATATGTTTTTATTTATTTATTGTTGTCCGCCAGATTATGTGCAGCTAGGATCTCTTGATCTAGAGTTGTGGTGGAACTTGATATCTTTATTGTTGTATTGCGATTTGTATATTTATTGCATGAATCATCTATGTAGTTGAGTTACTGATTTAATTATGTGTTTGATTGTTTCATGTCCTTCAACAATTCGACCCTGTTTATGAACCTTAGTTGAAAATGAGAAAAGGGAATCTAGGTAGTAGGGGCTTGATTTGCAGTAAAATAGACACATATTTGCTCTCCTTACGTAGCCAGTCAATTATGTTAACCTTAATGCATTCTTTCGTCTTTTACCCTTTTGATCTCAACCTTAATGCATACTTTTTAACTGAAATGAGAAAACTCATAGAAATATAGGGAATTGGTCAATTTGCATAGAGAATAGCATATCGAAAGAGTCTTGCTACTATAAAATACCCTCAAGGTTAATAGTATAGTGCATAGAACATAGCAGAATGAATGACATTGACAATAGAAACTATATAGAAAAGTTAAGAATGGTCGAACAAGGGCAAATTTGTCATTTTACTCTGCCATTTTTTTTAAAATTTTTCGATACATATTCCAACCCAAAACACTCCTGACACAATTCTAGAACCCTCATCTGCTTTCATAAACCTATTTTCTTCATTTCACACTTCGAACTACAACTCATCTTTCAGTTACATTCATCTCCTAGCTGGGTATCTCAATTTTAGATAAGCTTTTCCCTTAATTTTTGCTTTAATCTTCTCCAGCTTTTGCTTGTCTGAGTCACTTATTTGCCCTTGAACAATTTATTGTACTTCCCAATGAAATGTCTTATGTGTGAATTCAAATGCAATCCAAAGCCACCTACTGCTTTATCATCGTTCTACCCTTTCGATGGGGATTGAGTGTACGTCGGAGCTTGCGGATGTATCAAAGCCGCCTCTTCTTTTGTTTAATCTCAGAAGATCTCATCCATTGAGATCGAGCACGATAAATGGTAAGATTATTTATTTGTTAAACATTTTCATTTGTTGTGAGAAATTTTCAGGGTTAGTTTTCTCAACTAATTTTTCCTATTAATTGAACAAAGTAGCTTTTTAAGATGAGATCTGAATATATCATAGAGGGATACAAGGTTTCTAATTGTTTTCTTTATTTATCTGTTTACGCTTTTTGTTCCCTATTTTTTTTTTTTTTTTACAAAACGTGGTGTTGTTCCAGCAACTGCAGATAGTACTAAGATGTCGACAAAGAATATTAATTCAGGGATGGGTTGGAGTTTCATAAGAGCATTAGCTCAGATAGTATTGCTTTTTCCTTACTCTCACAATTTGGATGGTTCAATCTGCTTTACTCTCGGTAATTTCTTTTCTTTCTAATTAATTTTTGTTGATGACTTTTGTCATAAAAGATTAAATACAGATGATTCATAGTAGTAAGGAAGAAATATCTTTTGTTGTTAATGAGTATAAAATGCTCTATTAAATAATTGAGTAATTCAACAAATTCAATCTTGTGGCATATCAAATTAAGTTAGGCATATAAAATAGAGTTTGTGAACGACCTATATAATCATTGTTGAATTTGTGTAAACAATTAAACAAGCAAAGAAAGTAAGATTGAAAGAAGAAAGGTTCCATGAACAACCACTAAATTAAGTGAAGATGCTCTAGACAATTGTACAGGAGTCGAGGATAGAAGAATTTGCGGAAGATAAATTTAATAATCGTCTTATTAAGATTCAAGACAGACAAAAATGTGTTTTGAGAAAAAAGGAATTCAATGAGATTTAGTATGTATGAGTTTGTATGTTTTTTCTTATAAATGCAGTTAATATATAAAGCAAAGTAGCATGTATGCGAGATTTTTAACTTACTTTGATTATCAATTTCCATAATGGAATCTTTGAATCCTCCATTGATTGATTAATTTTAGTTATAGTAGAAGTTAATAAAGATGCACAACAACTCTATATTGTTGCGAACTTCTTTAGAAATTGATCAAAATGTATTGTTGTTTAGTGTTGTTGCGGAAAGTAGTAGGAGTATGCTGTTATTCCGATTTAACAGATCATCTTAATGTATATGTGATTGGTATTGCTGATTCATGTCTTTTTCCCTTTCATGTCTTGCCTTTGAGCGCTCTAATGCGTTGGACGATTACTAAAACGTTTTAAAAATCCTCATTTTGGTCCATTTAAAGTTTTTACTTCTTATAGGAAAACCAGAAAAAATATCTATATTTTCTTATGCAAGCGATATACTCTTAGATGCTTTGATTCAATACTGTTTCTATCAAGTTTAGAGAATCAAAATAAACCTTGTAGATTATGCTGTTGTGGTTGAAAAGTTATTGCTTGTGGTCTTACTATTTGAGAATTGAATCTTTAATTAGTGTCTCGATTATGTTGTTTATTAAAGTGGTTCACTGATATATGTAGGTGGAAGGCTTTAGATTTTGCAGCTTTCAAAAGGAGTTCAGCAGTGTTTTTCAATGTCAAAAAAACAGAAATTGATGTCTTTTGGTGGTTGGAGCACGTATATGATGAGCGAAGGATGGAAGGGGACTGTCAAAGAATGGGAAGGCTCAAAAACTTGCTTTGCAACATTGGCTAGAAGTTGTGCATTGTCCTAAATCTTTTTCATATCTTTCATCCTAAGTAGCATTAAAGCTTTTATAGCTATTCATAAATATTCCTGCCTATTGAAGTGACTATTTGTTGTGTTATTATAGCATTGAATTCTCCAAATAAAGAAAGTCTCTATGAATTATTTCAGTAAGTTATTTTATTCTTCAAGAGTGCCATTTATTATGAAACTGATTCTTCCTTCTACTCTAACGCGTGTCCTGAAAGTTAAATCTCTCAACTTATCTTCTACTAGTGAGTGTTCCCTTGCAGGATTTTGCACCTATGTTATATGAATAAAGATATTTATAAAATATTTCTATGAGTTGAAATATCTCAGGGTTGACATCTTCTTGTATTAGCAACTTTTTTTGAAGGTTGTATGTTGGAGATGTGAAAGAAATACATCTTGAAGTGCAATAGATGTGCATGTTGTTGTGTCTTCGTCAAAACAACAGTAAAGTTGTCTTCTGAAAGGAGGGAGGAGAATACTAGGAAAATTATCTGCAGAATCAGTTGATGAATCAGTTGATGTATCCTATTTATTGATATCCTATTTATTGATAACCTGGATCTAGACTCTGGATTTAGATGTTTTTCATTCTTACAGTTGAATTGGCTATCATTGGGTTATATTAGTTATGTTTTCTTCTGTCTATCATTGGGTTATATTAGTTATGTTTTCTTTTCCTTCGTGTCTTTTGCTATCCATCATTCAATATGACCATAATTTTGAAGTTATTGTAAAAGAGCTACTAGATTCTTGTCATTTTTCCTCTAAATTGCCAGAGATTAAATTTGATTTTGTTCACATGAGCACATACATCTAAGTCACACCGTTGGGCATGTGCTCACAGGCGTCACCTTATCTAGTTGACAATAGAAGCATCAAGGAAAGCTGTATCTCTACAATCCTTACTCTTAGATAATCCGAAAACATGCTTATTGATTGTCTTCTTAGTATTAAACATTTCCCAGTACCTCTCGTTTTAGATTCTTAGTTCAACCAACAATTCTCCTTTTTATTAGTAACAATTTAGTCTAAGGATTTAGTTAAACGGAATCCACATTCTCATTCGTGAACCATACTTTGCTTACTCAATATTACTAGAGCTATCGTGTAGAGAGATAAAATTCATTCAAATTGCAACATTAAGGAACACTAAGCTATGTAGGCCAGTCAAGACCCAAATAAAAAGGGGAAATACTGATATAAATTAGAAACATTTCCAGTCTAAACAGAATAACCACTATAGGTACCTGAAAAATTAAGCCGACGATGGTAGTGCCAGTCTTGAGGAAAGAAGGACCCCGAAGTCCTTTATTCACAAGCATCTCATTCCTTCTGCACAAATCAAAGCTAAATCCACCCTTCATAGGAACATCCGTTGTTGCCTTAGACGCCATTGCTGCTAAAGATAACCTAAAAAAATAAAAAAAATATGAGACTGAAAAGGCAGTCTTGATTGCTGGGACAAGAAAACAAAAGGCAAAAGAGTATTACAGGTTGTCACCAAAATTTTAAAAAACCCTCCGATTAATCTTTTTCAGTAGTGATTTACGAAGCTGATGATTTGAAACCACCGAGAGAGAGAGAGAGAGAGAAAGAGAGCGAGCTGAGTGATGATATGAGAGACTCGGGATCTTGTAAAAGAGACCAGTAGGCTTGGAGAATAAGAAAAGAGGGCAAAGTGCACCAATAATCAATTTTAACCCCTCTATATAAAATATATCTACAATTTACAATGTATTTAAAAATTAATAATTCACCTAACTAATAGCCCGTTTGGCCAAGCTGCAAAAATAAGCTTATTTTGAGAAGTACTTTTTTAAAAAAAATACTTTTCTCAAGAGTACTTTTGGTGAGAAACAGTTTGTGTTTGGCTAATTAGTTTAAAAATCACTTCTGAGCAGTAATTAGTATTTGGCCAAGCTTTAAAAAACTGCTTCTAAGTGTATTTTTCTCAAAAGTGCTTCTCAAAAAAGGCTTTTGGAGAGAAGCTACTTTTTTTGCTTCTTCAAAACTGCTTCTGCTTCTCCTCAAAAGCACTTTTTTTCCTTCCAAAAGCTGTCAAACACCTCAATTTTTGGCCAAAAGTGTCTTTAGCAAAAAAAAAGAAGCACTTTTGGCCAAAAAGAAGCTTGGCCAAACAGGCTATAAGTATCTTATCCAACTGCTAATTTAAACTTCAGGATTAAATGTCCTAAATTTCTGACCACTAATTGTATCTTATTTAGGACATAAGATTCGAATTTTAAAACACAATTTATGAACTTTAGGACACGGTGTCCTAAATTGCTGAACTACTAATTTAAAATTTAGTACATAAAATTCGAACTTAAGGACACAATTTTCGTACTTTAGGATACGATGTCTTGAAGTTTGAATTTTGAGGTTTAAATTCTAGGACGTCGTGTCCTGAAATTTAAGCGAAGTTAACTAATCTTAAATATATTATAAACTGTGAATATATTTTAAACAATATGCTTAAAAATATCTATTTGATGTCATTTCCACAAGAAAAACAGGTGGAAGAGGGCCGTAAATTTGGCTGCTGATTTTACTGCGGATGTCGAAGCATGGATCCCCAATATTAGTGGGCGTTTGGACATAAGAATTGTAAAATTTCAAAACAGGATGAAAAAAAATTTCAAGTAAAAATGGTACTTGAAATTTAGAGTTCTATTTGGACATAAATATAATTTTGGGTTGTTTTTGAAGTTTTGTGAATGATTTGAGTGAAAATTTTGAAAAACATTTTCAAATTTTCGAAAATTTCCAAAATGTATCTTCAAGTGAAAATTGAAAATTTTATGAACAAACGTTGGTTACGAGAAAAGTGAAAATATTTTGGAAAAAAAGGAAAAAATTTCTTATGTCCAAACGGGCTCATAGTAGCACTCTTTAACCTACAACCAACTTTTCAAAATTATTTAACATATACCCAGTTTCTATTAAGTAACTAATATCCAGACAAAAATAACCCTAAATAAATAAAACAGGTACCACATAGAGGTATGAGCTGAAACATGAATGATTTAGAGAGGAAATGGACAACCCAATAATAAATCTATTGTATTTAGATCGCTAACGTTAAATGTAAATGCAAGCACAAATCATTAATTAGCTTAATAGCTCAAAACTCTAGAAAAGGGCCATAAAAGAGAAGATTCGCCTACTACAAGGATTCAGATATATAGACGATAATTTGAAAACTAGATATTCTGATTTAAGCATTTGAATACTTCAACTTCACTCAAGTTATTTTTTACTTATTCTATGTCTTCAAAAAGCAATGAAAAGACTATTAGAGAAATCCATTTGCTAACTGATTATACTTCACTGCAGATAACATCTGAAATCTAATTAGACAAGTTATACTTTTTCCATCTAATAACGAGATTTAACAGGTTTACTAGATTTTGGAAGATCATATACAAAAAATTCATAATTTTGCAAACCCAATATAACAATCAAGATTTTGGCAGGTAGTCCAAATAACATGAAAGAATTAAATTTATCATTTTGTTTACCCTAAAAATTGAGTAACAATTAAACTTATAATGTGGTTTTAAGGATACGTGATTTCACTTAATATCAATTGATAAACGTAAAGATAAGTGATGCAAATTGACAATAATACAAAGCAAACCAACGTTTGATCAATGCCCTCGAGCTAATGAATCCTCGAGCTTGGTAGAGCAAGAACAGTTAAAGAGCAGCAAGTTGATAAACAAAAGAACGTGAGTTAAAGGGAGAATATGATATTGCTTTGATCTGTATGAATGTAAGGTGTTTTACAAATGATGGGATTTCCCTTTATATACTAGAGGAATCCTAATTAAAGTATAATTCTAATTACGGAAGTAAATCCCATGATTGGTACAAATAACCGCCCTTAATTCGATCTGTTCCGAGATTTCCGCCGTGATCTTTGACCGGTCACGGATATCTCGCCTTTCCGTTATTGCACTTCACTCGAAGTTGGTCATACTTAGTATCGATTGCTGCTAGCCTCGGTCTCGACGGACATCTCGATTCTTGAACTCAACACCTCGTCTTCGTGCTATAAAATGCCGGTAGGGCCACGTGTCGAAGAGTGTGTTCCTAGGTCATGCGATCTTACTTCTGACTTTAAAGTCGAGAAACCCTCATCGGTACCTGGACGATGTGAGCCAATGTCGAGATACATATGCTCGATGATGGAGGGCAATCTTGAGCGGGTGAAAAAAGATTGCCATTGGGAAAACAAAGAGGTGGTGATTCAGACCCCCAGAGAGGACATCACCACCCACGTGAAAGGGTTCTTGAGCCTTTACACTTACCCTTTTATGCTGGGTCTCGTTGACCCTATTATCCTCAATTTCTGCCGCCAATACCAAATAACCCTGGGCCAGATCCATCCTTCCTTCTGGCGCACAGTTATTTTGCTTCGATTTATTGTGAGCAAAGTCGAGGGGATGCCTTTTACCCTCGATCATCTCATTAGAATGTACAACTCCAGTCTTTATCGAGGCGGACTAATAAGGCTTTAGCGTCGAGCCACCAAGGTGTTGTTCTCGAGCATAGATAAGGACAAGGACCGAGGATGGATGGGCCGGTTTGTCCGAGTGAGGACTTCCGACATAATTCCGGCCGAGAAGATGTCATTCCCTGAAGAGTGAAACATGAAGCATAAGTACAAACCCATCTATAGTTTCCATTTACCTTTTTGTTTCTTTTGCCTTTTCGTTTTGACATCCCTTCTATGATGTTGCGGTTTCTTGGGTGACCGGTGCGATCCCGAACCTTGAAGGCTGGGTTTGAAATCTTGCCTCGACCTCTTCGTATGCTGAGTGCTCGTGGCGCGATTTGGCAAAGGGCTGATGGGAGGCCAAAAATCGCGGTAAGCTTCTCTATCCGCGTTTGATGCCCTTCTGTGAAATGATTCTTTTTCATTTTTACTTAATTTCCTCCAATACAGGTCTCAGAGACAATGCTGTCATGAGGCCGCCCCACCTGGGGAAGAGAATGCCACAAAATCGGCCAAGGATAAAAAGAGGAAAAGGGTCCCGCCTTTCGATACTCTAAAGCCTAAAAAGAGCAAGGCTTGTAAGTCGAAGAATGACACTGCCGCTCTGCCTGCCGACGTAGTCCAGAAACTACGAGATGAAGAAGAGGAAGAAGATGCAGACTACAAGCTGGTGGGTCGATAGAGGGGGAGCGCTTAAGCTTCAAAGGCAGCTAAGTCGGTGATGGTCGAGGAGGCTCATCTTCGGACTGAGGAGACCTCGAAAGATGCTCCGAGCAAAGTCCCAGAATCATCAGAGGCTGAAGATGTCTCCTGCCGTGACGAACAATTGGCGAGTGTGCCTGTCCGCCGTGATGAAGAATCGGCCGTTTTGCCTGAATGGTCCAGTTCCTAGGCCCTCCGAAAAGGAGAGAGCACCCCAAGTGTCTTACTTGGGGAAATCAATATTGATGATTCGCCGCCCTTCCCCACATTTTTCGAGGGGCAATTTTAGGAGGCCCAGGCTGTGGAGACCCCCGATGTGGGAACGATCCATGAAGGGGATGACTTATTCCTTGGCTGCTTCACGGGGGTCGATGATGTTTTCGATCTGGATGCAACGATCATTTTTTATGAGGCTCAGCAACTCCTGAACCAGGTAGACTCCAGTCTCTGTTATTAGTTTTACATTTGCCTTTATTTCCTTCCTTTCTCCATAGGCCGTGACACTTCATCGGGAAGCAATTTTCAAATCTCGAGCCGAGCTGAACCGATGTGAGGCCGATCTCAAAAGGTTCAAAGAGGAGAGAGATGCCCTCAAACTCATCAGTGGGCAAAAAGAAGAGGAGATCAAGGACCTCCGAGCTGAACTAGCCAAAGCTCACAAAGAGCAGACTGACTTGATCGAACAGGTAATGAAGAATTTTCTTAGAAGTTTGGTGTGTCTATTCGGGGATGGCGACTAATACTTTGATCCTACAGGTTCGACAGAAGGCCGAAAAGATCGAGCAGCTTCGCGATGAGGCTAAGATGAAAAAGGCAGAGAATTTTAGGTGGAAGCAGAACATGGACCGCCTCGCCTCGGAGAAAGATACTGCTCGAGCCCAGTTTGGCTCAGTGTCAACTCCAAAGCATGAAGGAAGAGAGCTTGGCCCGAGCCAAGAAAATTGAGGAGCTCAAGACTCGGTTGGCCGCTGAGCTTGCAAAGGCCGCATCTGAAGCAGAAAGAGTAAAGGCCGATGCGGAGGCGATCATGGCCGTCTACCAAGCTAACACTGAAGCCGCTAACGCTCGAGCAAAGGAAATGTTTTGATGCTACTCAGGTTCGATCATCCTACATTGCCGAGCATGCCAAATGCCAGTCTCGGAGAGAGACTCTCGAAGAGATTCATGCTCGTGTTTTTGAACTTACTGCTGATATCGAGAATGTGAAAGTGCTAGGGGCCGAAGCCAAAGCTTTGCTCTCTGATGATGATGACTCTGGGAGCGCGAGTGGATCCGAGAGCGGAGAAGATAAAGCTCCCGGGGAAGATTAGGCACTTAGAGTTTTTTCTTCTTTTTTGGATTTTGTATAAGACCCTGACTGGTCTCTGCTAATACTTTTGCATCTATGAAGGATCCCTTTTCTTTCCGATTTGTCTCTGATTTCTATTTTGTGAAAACTCTGTTTTGCTTTTGCCTTATGAAAATTC